TACCTAGTCATTTCAGCTTTAAAGATCACATAGATTGAAAGTGAAAAGATATTCCATGCAAATAAAAACTAAAAGAAAGTAAGGATACCTATACTTTTATCAGTAAAATAGATTTTAAGTAAAAAATTGTAAAGCAAAACAAGATTATTTTACAATGATAAAGGGACTGATAAATCAAAAAGATACCATAATTGTAAATATTTGTGTACCCAATATTGGAGTAAATACATAAAGCAAATATTAATAAATTTGGAGAGAGAAAGATGACAACACAAATTAATAAGCAACTTCAATGCCCCACTTTCAATAACAGACAGGTCATCCAGACAAAATTAATAAGGGAACATTGTATTTGAACCACACTTTAGATCAAATGGATGTAACAGTAATATAGATTCTACCCAACAGCCATAGAATGCTCGTTCTTCACAAGTGCTCATGGAACATTCTTCAGTACACACCATTTGTGAGACCACGAAACAAGTCTTAAGAAGACTGAAATCATATCAAGTATCTTTTTTTTTTACCAGTATAGTGTGAAATTATAAATCAATAATAGGGGAAATTTTAGAAAATTCACAAATACATGGAATTAAACAACATACTCCTGAATAACCAGTGGGTCAAAGGAGAAATCAGAAGGGAAGTTTAAAGCTACCTTGAGGCAAACAAAAATGGAAATGCAGCATGCCAAAACTTAGAGCAATCAGCAAAAGTGGTGCTAAGAGACAAATTTATAGTAATAAACACCTACATTAAAAAGCAGAAAAATCTCAATCAACCTAATATTATGCCTTAAGGAACTAGGAAAAGAAGAACAAATTGAACCACAGTTAGTAGAAGGGATGAAATAATAAACACCAGAGTAGAAAAAAAAAGGAAAATAGAGACAAAAAAAGCAATATAAAAAATCTACAAAATTAAGAGTTGGCTTTTTGAAAAGATCAACACAAACAAGACTAGCTAGAGTAAGAAAAAGAGATATTCAATAAATAAAATCAGAAATGAAAGATACATTACAACTGATACAACAGAAGTACCAGGAGCTTCAAAGCAATGTACAACAAACTGATTAACTGAGAGAACATATAAATACTCAGACATGGGGCCAGTGTTGTGACATGGCAAGAAAAGCCACTACCTGCACCATCAGCATCCCACATGGGCACAACACATATATGTCCCAGCTGCTCCACTTCCAATCTAGTCTCCTGCTAATGCACCTGGGAAAAGCAGTGGACGATGACTCAAGTGTTTGGGCCCCTGTACCAGTGTGGGAGAACTGGATGAAGCTCCTGGCTCCTGGCTTCAGCCTGGACCAGCTCTGGCTGTTGGTGGCCATTTGGGGCATGAACCAGTAGATGGAAGATCTCTGTGTAACTCTTTGAAAGAAATAAATGAATAAAGCCTCTTTTAAAAAACATTCTCAGACACCTGCAACTATTAAGGTGAAATCCTCAGTTAATAGAAAATCTGAACAGATTAATCATAAAGAAGGGTCTGGCACTCTGACGTAATGAGTTAAGCCTCCCCTTGCATTCCATATGGGTGCTGTATCGTGTCCCAGCTGCTCCTATTCTGATCCAGCTCTCTGCTTATGGCCTGGGAAGGCAGTGGAAAATGACCTGAGTGCTTAGGCCCCTGCTGCCACATGGGAGACCTAGAAGAAGCTTCTGGCTCCTGGCTTCAGATAGGCTCAGTTCCAGGCATCGTGGCCACTTGAGAAGTGAACCAGAGGATGAAAGACAGTTCTCTCTGTCTCTCCCTCTCTCTGTCTGTAACTCTACCTCTCAAATAAAAAAAAAAAAACTTAAAAAAAAAAAAAGAGTAAGGAGACCAAATCTATTTAAAACTCTTCCATCAAAGGCCAGAATCCGATGGCTGCAGTCCTGAATTCTACTAGATATTTATGGAATAACACCAATCCTTCTCAAATTCTTGAAAAAAAAATTGAAGAGGAAGAAAAACTTCCAAACTCATTTTATGAGGCCAGCTTACCCTGATGCTAAAGCCAGATGAGGACACTACAAAAAAATTACAAACCAATATCCTTAATGAACATAGATGCAAAGACCCTTTACAACATACCAAAAAACTGGATTCCACAGAAAATGTAAATGATCGTTCATAATGAACAAGTAGAATTTAATACTGGGTTGCAGGATGGTCCAACATATCCAAGTTTATAAACATGATGCAACACATCAACAGAATGGAAGACAAAAATAATATGCTCACCTTAATAGATGCAAGTCAGCATAATTTCATGATAAAAACTGAACAAAGTATATAAAGAATGCATTAAGAAATGTACTTCAACACAATAAAGGACATAAACAAGCCCACAGCTAACACAGAATTTATGATAAAAAGTTAAAAGCTTTTCCTCTAAGAACCACTTCAAGACAAGGAAGCCCACTCTTGCTGCGTCTATTCAAAAAAAAAAAAAAAAACCCCTAAAGACATCATACTACCTCACTTCAAACTCTACTACAAAGCTATAATAATCAAAACATCATGGTACTAACATAAAAACAGACACATAATTCGATAAGCAATGAAACAGAGGCCCTACAAGTAAATTCATACATTCATAATCAATTTTCAACAAAGGTGCAAAGAACACATTAAGGGGAAAGGGCAGTCTCTTCAATGACCAATGTCTGGACTAATGGATCCTTAGATGCTGAAGATATTAGATGCAAAAATCAACCCAAGATGAATTAAAATCTTAATGATAAGACCTCAAACCACTAAAAGAAAACGCAGGAGAGAAGACGAATAACGTTGGTCTGAGCAATGTTTTTTTTTTTTTTTATGTGAACCTAAAAGCACAGACAACAAAAGCAAAAATAAGCAAGTAAGATTCATCAAGCTAAAAAGCTCCACACATATAAGGAAACCAATCAACAGAGCAAGAAGACAACCTATGGAATGAGAGAATATACTTGCACACCATACACCTGAAATAAGATTACTACCCAAAACATGTGAGGAACTCAACGCAAAAGTATGAAAATAAGTAACATAATTTTTAAATGGACTAAAGATCAGTGGAGACCACTGTGTGGCACAAGATGTTAAGCCACTGCTTACAACACCAGCATCTCATATCAGATTCCTAGTTCTAGTCCCAGCTACTCCACTTCCAATCCAGCTCCCTGCTAATGGCCTAGAAAAGCTGTGAAAGATGGCACATGGCCTTGTGCCCCTGACACCAACACGGGAGACCCAGATGAAGCTCCTGTCTCCTGGCTTTGGCCAGGCCCAGCCCCAGCCATTGCGGCTATTTGGGGAGTGAACCAGTGGATGGAAGATTTCTCCCTGCCCCCTCACTGTGTAACTCTGCCTTTCAAATAAATCAATCAAAAACCAAAACATATTGACACAATTTTTTTTTTTTTTACTTTCTTTATTTGAAAAACAGATTTATAGAGAGGCAGAGGCAAAGAGAGAGGTCTTCCATCTGCTGGTTCACTCCCCAGATGGCCTCAACAGCTGGAGCTGTGCCGATCTGAAGACAGGAGCCAGGAGATTCTTCCAGGTCTTCCACACAAGTGCAGTGGCCCAAGGACTTGGGCTATCTTCTACTGCTTTCCCAGGCCAGAGCAGAGAGCTGGACCAGAAGTGGAGCAACTGGGACTCAAATTGGCACCCATATGGGATGCTGGCACCACAGGCGGTGGCTATACCCATATGCCATAGCACTGGCCCAGCACAGTGTTTTTTAAACAATCCAACCACATGCTGTGTGCAAAGACACTCATTTAAAATCTAGAAAAAATAGGATAAAAGTGAAAGGATGAGAAAAGATATTCCATGCAAATAGTAAGCAAAGGTAAACTAAGGTGGCTACATTCTCAGACAAAATAGACTTTAAAAGCTATTGTGGGGCTAGCCTGTGGCATAGTGGGTAAAGCTGCTGCCTGAAGCACCAGCATCCCAGGTAGGCACCACTCCAATTTCCAGCTATTCCATTTTGGATCCAGCTCCCTGCTAATGGCCTGGGAGAGCAGCAGAAGGTGGCCCAAGTCCTTCAGACCCTGTCACCCGCTTAGGAGACCTCCTGGCTCATGGCTCCTGGCTTCAGATCTGCCCAGGTCCAATCATTGTGGCCATCTGGGAAGCGAATCAGCAGATGGTAGACCTGTCTGTCTCAAGTAAATAAATCTTTAAAACATACACACACACACACACACGTAAGACTTCACACTCATAAGGATAGCCATTATCAACAAAATACATAGAAAGTAACATGTTGGTGAGGATGAGCAGAAATGAACCTCTGTGCATTTCTGGTAGAAAGATAAAATGATGCAGCCCTGTAGAAAGGCAAACTTTAAACACAAGATCAGCATGTGACTTTCACGCCCAGGTATCTTCTAAGAATCTGAATATTGTAGATCCCTGTAGTCCAGTGTTCACAGCAGCATTAATCCTATTAGATAAATGGCAGAAACAACCCATATCCACCAACAAATGAGTAGAATGTTGTACAAACACAGAATATTCAGCCATAAAAAGGAATGAAATGGACAGCTTGAAAATACGCTAGATGAAATAAGCCAGACACAAGGACAATCTTTTGATTCCACTTAAATATCCAGAAAAGGCAAATTCTTAGAAAGTACAATAGAGGTTTATCAGGGCATAAAGGGGAAAGGAAAACAGTGAGTTTGTTTAATAGGTTCAGAATTTGTTTGGAATAGCTAAAAAAAAAAAAAAAAAAAAACCCTGGAAATAAGTGACGGTTGAGGAACACTGTGAATCATGTACTTAGTGATATTAATTCACACATTTCCCTGGCAAGTTCTGTTTAGTTACCACAAAAATAAAATTAGAATTTAGAGGCATTATAGTCAGACTATCTGGTCCCCGCCTTCTGATACTCATTCTTGGATCGTGTGTGAACTGGACTAGTGGCTAGCTTCTGACAAACAGGATGAGGCAAAAGTCAGAGTGTGATGTAAGAGTCTAGGTCATAAAGAAACTGTGGCATCACTGGAGTAAGCCAGTCACCAGGTCCACAGAGTGAGCAAGTGAGCACCACCTGTTAACAGCGATGTGACAAGCTCAGAAGCAAATCCTCCAGCTCAAATCAAACTCTCAGATGACATCTTGGCAGCATCCTAATCACATTCCTACAGGAGCTCCTGAACCAAAACACCAGTAACCGATCATCCAACCTGCAATCCTCAGACAAGTAAGCTATTTGTTGTTCCAAGCTGCTACATTTTGAGTAATTTACTATGCAGTAGTAGGTAGCGCACTAGGGGTGGAGTAAATATTTAAAGCAAGAGGCCACAAGAAAAAGAAACATCATCAGATGGTGGTATTATAATCACCTGGAACTTTGCATAAATTTTCTTACTTTATAAAATAGGTTTTTGAAGTTAATCACATAGTGTGTAATGAGTAACAGCCACTGAAGGAATGAAAGGAGAAAAATGTCAATTTTAGGGGACAAGAAAGTTAACTTCACACAGGATACTGAGATCAATCAAATTTCATTGGCATTAAAAGTTTTTATTTGGAATTTGATCCACAATCTATACAAGTTATTTACAAGCCATGAAAATGGAAAACAGCACAAAATACAATTGAGGTATAAGCTAAGAGCACAGTATGCCATGTTTCAATAAATATAATTCAAAATTTGTAAACTAAGTGACCAGATAAATGAGTCTTATATTTTAGTAAAACCATATAAAATATTTATTTCACGTGAGGTAGAGGACAGTTTTGTTTGTCATGTAATGCAACCAACCACAGCAATTTTAACCATAAAACTGTACATCATTGGCAAAGTTTTAAATTGAGTTATGGTCAATAGTCAGCAATGTGTACAACAGTTGCAGAACAGCTAATTCCCATTAACCGCTTCACAGATTAAGTTTAGAAATAATTTAAGACTTCTATGTTGGCTTAAAATTATCAAGATAAACATACAGTCCTAACAAGATGTTTTAAAGCAAGTATATTTTAATTCTCAAAAATTCTAATTCTTCAAAAGATACCTAAGTTTAGCAATTATTTTAGTAAAATGTTTTTACCAGAACTACTTCTTTAAGTATGCTGTGCTTTATTTTCAAGTGAGGTATCTATAGTGAGGAAAAAAAAATCTTATAAATTTCTTTTATATTATACTAACTTAATACACTATTTTGTTTTCTGGGCTTAACTTTTAGAATTGTTTTTACATTTGATCACTTTCTAATTCAAAAACAGTAGCGCTACATAAAACATTTAACTGTATTACTAAACAGGGCTCCAAAGTGTATTAGTTTAGAAGCCATTTAAATGGAAAGATTTTACCAAAAAAGAGAGACACTGTCCTTTGAAACAAGATGCAATATAAAATACCCTTAATGCTTTTTTTTCCAATATTGGAAGGAGCCTATACTACAACAAAAATTTAAGCTGTTTAAATATTCAATTCCACAACATACATTACAGCAGTTATAAGTCCCTTATTGCTGAGAGCTTCCATAAAAACTATTAACAAGTAGTTCTAAGCACAGAAATAGATGTACAGTATAAGCACAATTTTTCATTGTTAATTTTTAATGTCCTGTCATGTGTATTGGACTCATAAAAGGCAAATAAAAAACGAGGATTCTTCCCTAGATAACCAAAACACAAGTCTTAACTGTTGAGAAAATTTTAGAAGTTGATCAAAAACCATCAACACCAGCTTTAATTCTAGAAAAAATACCTTGAGCATGTTTTATATTACTTCAGTTTCCTTACCATTTTACTTTCCTTCAAACAGAAGCCACAGATGTGCAAATAAACTGGTTGCTCTGTCATAACTTCTAAAAGGTATGAATAACCTGCAAATATAGTACTCAATCTATTTAACCTACTTCAGTAACTGCTTTATAATTCAATATGTACAAATGTTTTATATCTAAACCAGTAATATATTAAATGCTATAAAATTGGTTCAAGAAGCATAAAACATACTGGTTCTCATGACGCAGAAATTCAAGCAAAATATGCTTTACAAAATCTAAAGTACAAGCCAAATTTAAGTTGTTGGTCAAATGTTTTTATAGTGTTACAAGTTACACTTATGAAATTAGGATGTTTTAAGAATTTCCTCAATGACAGAAGGAAGTTTTACGCAGATTACTTTTTAGATTTGGTACATTTTTCTCATAATATTCAGACTATGTTAACTATCACCACCCAAATTAAACCACCCAGTAAGCTATTCTTTCCTCCTTCTAAAGACATACAAGTTAAAACTTTTTAAAGGTTGTTTCTTCTATGCAGCCTTTTAGAGTAAACATTTTTACTTTTCTTAAAAAATAAAAAGTAATATGAAGTTTAGAATCTGCTAAAGAATGTGGCACACATAAACTAATACCAAAACAAACTTTAAGGTAGCAACCCACACACAAAACACGCATGCAAAGAAAAAACAAGGGTTACATGGATAATACATTTTAGCAGAGGCCACTTTAAAAGTTTTACAAAATCTATTGTTTTCAAGCTGTGTGGTACAGTATAACTTAAGAGTTACTTTTAACAATAATAGCTGTAATATCTACAATTGACTAAAAAACTATTTTCAAGGAAGTTAGAAAGCTATGGCACACTAATGTACTGGAAATGAAGAGTATCATATGGCAAGTTTCCTTTAAGTTAAGGACTACAAAAATAAAGAGTTTAAAATAATTCAAAAGTATTTAGACACTGCTTAGAATTTTATAATGTATTTCAAAGGCTAAGCAAGTTATTTTAGAAGTTTTGGATTGACACAAGTAAACTTATCATTTAATAAGTAACATAAATGATAAGAAAGCTTATCATTTAATAAGTAACATAAGCAGAACTTATCATTTAATAAGTAACATAAGTGAATTAGAAAACTAAATGAAACTATAGGTACTTGATTTTGCCTTCCAAAAATATGAGTTACTACACAACTAATTTACAACTAAAATAAAAGTGTATCATAAGTGTAATTTTTTTGCAAGGTCTAAATAAATTATATTAGGGAGATATGCATTTTCAACATTTGTTCCATCTTGAGATTCCAAGAATCAATAAATTAAATTACAGGGTAAATATAGTAAAAATTGAAATGAAAAGTAGAAAATACACATTTAGATCATACTCTGTTTAGTAAAGTTCCCTTTTAGGAACTATAGAAATTCTTTTGGGATATATGAGTACCATTAAGAACAATCTGAAAATAACTGGTTAATGATAAGCTATGTGATTTTTTTTTTTTTTTAAGTTCTACCAACATTAGAGTACCTGCCTTCTACAATGGACATAGCACACAACTTTCATTCTAGTTCACTTGTAATAATTTCATACAGAACCTTGTCAGAAAGCATGAAAAACAAAATTCATGGGGTTAATAATGTCAACTACTGGTGGTTTCAGGAAACTTTCCTTTAAAAAACTGCATACTAACAATTTTTTTTCTATTATCTTTTAAGCCAAGAATTAACAGGAAATTTGCTTTTAAAGAGTGACAGACTTTTCTGTGCAAAAAAAAAAAAGTACAGAAGATGTTGCCTCTTCCCAAACTATGGAATTCTTTTGTAAACTAAAAATTATCTAAAAATTTTAGTAGCAGATAATTAAACTCCTATACAAAGCTATCATACACTATCAGTTGACTGTAAATTCCTGATTTTGATATTAAGTAGTAATTGAAAATGGTCCATTCGTGCAAATTTTTGGTAAGACTTAACATTTAACATACAAAAGTCCAAAATAACCTTCAATATGTTTAATATTTTACAATTTAAAGGAAAACAAATCCATTATATAAATTTCATTCCAACCCATAGCTACATACAAAACCTGTACAGAAGGACTGTGGATTCTATAGAAACTGATGTACATCAATGACACCAATTCTTCTCAACATTATTATTTTCACACCACTATTAACAACATAAACAAAAGTTCAGAAATCATTATTTTTCTGAAGATACAGCGTAAAAAATTTCTAAATATAACCACATTAAACCTGAAAAACAAATTACAACTGCTTCTTACATTTAGCAGCAATGCGTAACAAAACATCTTACTCTTTCCAATGACACCCATGGGTTATGCTATTCCTTCATTAATGAAATTCCTCTTAGGAGACATTTAAAAGAGAACTGAGGATTGAAGAAATTCATTCCACAATCTGAACAAAGTAAAAGCTAATGTCTGTGTATAATAATGAGTATATATATCACTTATAAAGGAGATTGTGTTAATAAGAAAAATGCAGATTCAACTCCTTGAATAGTTCTATAGTATATATTTGAAATATAATGCCACCATTATATCTAAAATTGAGTCTGAAATATGGATAACAAAATTGACCACAGCTATTTCCCATCACATAATGCAGCTTTTAAAAAGTATACAACTGTTAAATTCACATTAGAAATATAGGCAGGTTATCTACTACTTGAAATCCTATATTGTTACTAAGCTGAAAAAAAAATACAAAGAAACCTACATTTTCATTCATTTGGAAAATGTAAAAATTTATGTACTAATATATAATCTCTTCACTTTCTTTGATCTACAAATGGGTAGAATGCCTAGCTATTGTCATGCGGATAAGTTGTTCAGAATTCTATTACCAAAGCAAGCAATAAACAAAAAAACCCTGTCAGTATACACAGATGATCTCTTTAACAGTTCCTATTCTTTAGCAGCCTTGGATGACTTCAAAATTTGCAGCTTTAACTCTTTTATCATCATCTCTAACTTCTGTCTTGCCTCCCGCTCCTGTCTGAGTTCATCTTGGAGTTCTTGCCTATCAGCTTCAGCGTGGTCCAGTCTCTGTCTCAGTTCTGCTAGCTGTGTGATTTAAAAGGCTGTGTCAATATTCATTTAGTTTTGTTTTTCCATTTAATCTTATACCACAGCAAAGACCTACTTTCACATTATGTTTTACAAAACAAACTATTTCATGCATACCACAGTCTTTTAAGTATCTAATACTATTACCTTGACATTCAACATGACATTAAATTGAAGGTAAAGCAAAGGATCAAGAGGAATAAACACCTAAAACACCTACAGCACTTTAATTATTTTCTGTGCATTACTAGATCCTTGTTACAACCTGTTCAAGCTAATATTTGTACATCTTCCCTCAAATGTGAGCAACTATTAACATAAAGGATTTACTTATTTATTTTTGCTTCAGTGCTTTTGAATAGAGTAGGCAACAGTTATTTGTTAATATGTTGATTTGAAAGCATATATTATTAAAATAATATTTGATCATCAGAGAGCTAGATTTACAATTTAAGTAAATAAATTATAGAAATCCAATAAACTTTAAAGTAATAAACCAATAAAAGTCAAAAAATCATCATAGACAATCTAGCATAAAATTGTGTTTAACAGAATTATCTACATTGAAATCTAGCCTAGTGAATGAGCTTGACAAAAAGTAATTTCTTTAACAGAGCAGTAACACTTTCCATTCATGTTGAAAGGGCACATTATACAAACTGAGTAATTCTTACCTGTGCTGCATATTCAGCCTCTTTGTCTTTTTCCAAATTTGAGTCACATGTACATTTTTGCTTCATTACCTGCTCTAATTTTTTCTCTAAGTCCTTCTGTTCAACATAAAATTCTTCCATTCTTTGAGCATGTTCAGTCTGCAAAGATTCAAGTTCTTTCTGCAGATTCTGTTGTTCTTCAGTGAGTTCCCTCATAGCTTTTGAACTACTCAACATTTCCACTTCCTGTAAGTACAGAATCACAATACAATTTTATTTCCATCAGGTTAAAAATTTCAAAAAAAAAAAAACAAAAAAACTTTTAGTTCAGGAAAAAATAAGTCAGAAAATATATAAAATTCGTATTAGTTCTATATATCAACAGTTATATTGAAAAATATCTTCTCTATAAATGTATTAAAATTGCCTATCAGTGTGAAACTGAACAATCTAACATATATTTGCAACATATCTTGACTCCTCTGAGAATGTGCAAAAGTATCTTTTCATAATGAATTATCATTTAAATAACAACTTTACCATCTGAAGTTGTTGCTTCTTTTGCAAAATTGAGTTCAGTTTTTCCTGTTGTTTTACATAAGTCCTCATTACTTCCTCCATGATTTTTCCTTTATCATCTTCACAAACGACATCTTTGACAAGGAGTGGAGATGATTCTGCAGTATCATGGCCAATTCCCAACTTGTTTGTGTCTCTGACTAAGTGGCAAGTGGTAGAGTCAGATTTCTTTTTACTCACAGAACTATGTAAGATTGATGGATCTTTGAGAGGGAAAAAAAAATCAAGTAACAAAGAATAAATATCACTGTGTTAAAAAGTCACTGGAAGAATCCAGGAATGCTATTAACAAGACAATTCCATTCAAAAATTAAATCAACAAGAATAAAATACTTAGGAATAAGTTTAACAAAAGTAGTTAAACATGTACAATAGCAACAACAAAACATCAAAGAAAGATGTGAATACATAAAAAGACAGTCCATGTTAACAGATTGGAAGACTAAGTATTTTTTTTCTATTTGACAGGTAGAGTTATAGACAGTGAGAAGGAGAGACAGAGAGAAAGGTCTTCCTTACGTTGGTTCACTCCCCAAATGGCCGCTACGGCCAGCACTACGCCAATCTGAAACCAGGAGCCAGGTGCTTCCTCCTGGTCTCCCATGCGGGTGCAGGGGCCCAAGCACTTGGGCCATCCTCCACTGCACTCCCGGGCCACAGCAGAGAGCTGGACTGGAAGAGGAACAACTGGGACTAGAACCCGGCACCCATATGGGATGCCAGTGCCACAGGAGGAGGATTAACCAAGTAAGCCACAGTGCCGGCCCCCAGAAGACTAAGTATTTTTAAGATAATAATATTCCCCAAATTGATCCATATGTTCAGTGCAATCTCCATTAAAATCCCAGCTGGTTTTCTGGCAGAAATTGATAAGCTGATTCTAAAATTCATATGGAAATACAAAGACTCCAAAATAGACAAAAAATCCTGAAAAAGAATTAATAATTTCCAATGTTAAAGCTTGCTACAGATATCAAGTCCATTGTGTAGTACTCACATAAGGAAAGATACATAGATCAGTGAGAAAGAATTCAGAGTCCAGAACCAAGTAAACCCACAATTGTTTTTTTGTTTTCCCCTCCCAGAGAAACCTTTTATTTAATGGATGTAAATTTCCTAAGTACAACTTTAGGAATATAGTGATTCTACCAACCATACCCATCCTTCCCACCCCTACTCCCACTCCTCCTCCTCCTTCCTCTCCCATTCCTAGTCCCATTATCTATTAAGATTCGTTTTTTTTTTTTTTTTTTTTTTTTTTTTTGACAGGCAGAGTGGACAGTGAGAGAGAGAGAGAGAGAGAAAGGTCTTCCTTTGCTGTTGGTTCACCCTCCAATGGCCGTCATGGCCGGCGCGCTGCAGCCAGTGCACTGCGCTGATCTGAAGGCAGGAGCCAAGTGCTTATCCTGGTCTCCTGTGGGGTGCAGGGCCCAAGCACTTGGGCCATCCTCCACTGCACTCCCAGGCCACAGCAGAGAGCTGGCCTGGAAAAGGGGCAACTGGGACAGAATCCCGTGCCCCGACCGGGACTAGAACCCAGGGTGCCGGCGCCGCAAGGCGGAGGATTAGCCTAGTGAGCCGCGGCACCAGCCAAGATTCATTTTCAATTAACTTTATACACAGAAGACCAACTCTATACCAAGTAAAGATTTTAACAATTTGTGTGCATGCACACACTCACAAAGACTGAGAACAGTTTTACAGTTAACTCATTGTGGACAGAGGTCCTGCATGGGAATTAAATGCACAGTGACTCCTGTTGTTAATTTAACAATTAACACTCTTAAGTATGATGTCAGTGATCACCCAAGGCTCTTGACATGAGCTGCCTAAGCTATGGAAGCCTTTTGAGTTCACAATCTCCGTCAGTATTTAGACAAGGCCATATGCAAAGTGTAAGTTCTCTCCTCCCTTCAGAGGAAAGTACATCCTTCTTTGATGGCCACTTCTCTCCATTGGTGTCTCGCTCACAGAGATCTTTTTTTTTGCCACAATGTCTTGGCTTTCCATGCCTGAAAGGCTCTCATGGGCTTTTCAGCCAGACCAGAATGTTTTAAGGGCTGATTCTGAGGTCAGAGTGCTATTTAAAGCGACTGTCATTCTATGAGTCTGCTGTGTAGACTGCTTCTCTCCTTTTGGAACATTCTCTCCTTTTGAATTCTATTATTATTACCAGACACTTGATCTTATTTATAAGATCCCTTTAACACTTAATCATACCTATATGATCACTTTAACACTTACTATGATCACTTTAACAATTAAGATGGCATTTTTTTCCACCCAGCTTAATGGGATTTGGGGTCCAATGCAAAGTTTTTAAACTGTACCCTTAGAAGTTAGTCCATAGCAATGAATGCAGAACTACACAGCTTTACAGTTACAAACTTCCTCCCCTCTCTTATTCCCAATCTTATTGTTTACTGAAATCTATTTTCAATTGAATTTATACACATGATTAACTCTATGCTAAGTAAAGAGTTCAACAAATAATATGAAGAAGGAAAAAAAAATGTTCCTTGACAGTCAAGACAAGGGCTGTTCAAGTCATTGCTTCTCAAAGTGTCAATTTCACTTCTACAGGTTTCCTTTTAGGTCTCTATTATCACAGATCAGGAAGAACATAGGGTATTTGTCAACTTGGGACTGGCTTATTTTGTTTCATATGATGTAAACCCAAGTTTTATAGGCAATTGTTTTTTTGAGAAGACTGTCAAAAAATTCAATCTGAAAAGAATATTCAACAAATGGGCAAATGGATCTACATCCAAAAGAAAGAGACTTGGTACAGGATGGGGAGTCAACAAGTGAAGCAGCAGCTTAACTGCCTGCATCCCATATCAGAGTGCCTGATTCAAGTCCCAGCTATCACACCTCTGATCCAACTTCCTACTATTTTGCCTGAGAGGCAGTAGATGATGGCCTAAGTACTTGGACTCCTGCCACTCCCATGGGTATCAAGATGGAATTCCTGGCTCCTGGTTTTGATCTGGCCCACCCCTTGACTGCTGCAGACATTTGGGGAGTGAACCAGTACATGGAAGATCTCCTCTTTCTATGTCTCTCCCTCTCTTCATCACTCTTTGAAATAAATAAATATAAATCTTTAAGGGAAAATGAAAGTGAGGTTGGGGCCAGCACTGCAGCACAGGTTAAGCCTCTGCCTGCCACGCTGGCATCCTATACCAGTTTATGTCCCAGCTGCTCCACTTGCTATCCAGCTCTCTGCTGTGGCCTGGGAAAGCAGTGGAAGATGGCCCAAGTGATTGGGCCACTGTACCCCTGTGGGAGACCCAGAAGAAGCTCCTGTCTCCTGACTTTGGATCAGCCCAGCTCTGGCTGTTGCGGGCCATCTGTGGAGTGAACCAGCGGATGGAAGATCTTTCTGTCCCTCCCTCTCTCTGCCTGTAGCTCTCTCAAATAAATTAATAAAATCTTTTTTAAAATGAGGTTGGAACTTACACTGTATATAAATGTTAATTCAAAAGGAATCAAAGATATGTTAAGATCGAAGAGCTAAATATAAAGAGTTCTGAATTAGGCAATAATTTCTTCAGTATAAGAAACCATAAAGCAAGCAATCAAAAATTTACAGTTCTTACAATTTTAAAACTTCAATTGCTATACATTTTTTAGAATGGCAATAGCTGTAGAGTAAGAAAGCCAGTGTATAAGGATCTAGGGCCAGGACTGTATAAAGAACTCTTGGAACTCAACAGTAAAGAGACAACCCAATTTAAAAAGAGGCAAAAGATCAGAACAGAATTTCTCCAAAGAGATGCACTGTCCAAGAAAAACATGAAAGGGGCCAGTGTTGTGGCACAGTGTGTTAGGCTGCTGCCTATATCACCAGCATTCCCTTTTAGAGTGCCAGTTGAGTCCCCACAGCTCCACTTCGGATTCAGCTCTCTGCTAATGCACCTGGGAAAGTAGTGGAACATAGCCCAAGTATTTGGGCTCCTGCAACCCAAGTGGGAGACATGAATAGAGTTCCAGACTCCTGATTTTAGCTGGTCCAGCCCCAGTCATCACAGCCATTTGGGGAGTGAATCAACAGATAGGAGATCTCTTTCTGCCTCTCCCTCTCTGTCACTCTGCCTTTCAAATAATAAGTAAACAAATAAATTCAAATAAATTAAAAAATTATGGCCTGTGAATTGTGTGTTTTTCATGTTACTAGGATTAATCTGGGTAATAAAATATTATGTAACTGTGGCATACAGGTAGGTTACTAATTACTACTTAATGTAATTAAATCCAAAAAAAAATCTGAGTTTTTAAAACCTCAAAAAGAGTACAGAAAATCTTAAAGAATTTCAGCCGGCGCTGCGGCTCACTAGGCTAATCCTTTGCCTGCAGTGCCGGTACCCCAGGTTCTAGTCCCAGTTGGGGTGCCAGATTCTGTCCCGATTGCTCCTCTTCCAATCCAGCTCTCTGCTGTGGCCCGGGAAGGCAGTGGAGGATGGCCCAAGTGCTTGGGCCCTGCACCTACATGGGAGACCGGGAGGAAGCACCTGGCTCCTGGATCGGTGCAGCATGCCAGCTGCAGTAGCCATTTGGGGGTGAACCAACGAAAGGAAGACCTTTCTCTCTGTCTCTCTCTCACTAACTCTGCCTGTCAAAAAAAAAAAAAAAAAGAAAGAAAGAAAGGAAAAGAAAATCTTAAAGAATTTCAATTCCCTATGGGAAGTGTTAAATAACTGGAAGATTCTCTAACTGTTGCAAGGCAGTCACACTGCCTAAGCACAAAGCACAAAGCAAAGTTGTGCTGCTCTATGGGAAGCAGCATTTGAGGGAAAAGTTGTTTGATTCGCAGTATTTTCATTTAGATGAAGTCAGCATTCTGCATTTAAGCCAACTGCCCAGTTTCCAGAGCTTTTAATCTTTGCTTTTTATTCCATGACTGTTTCCCTGACTTACATAATTAACCATTCTTATTTATATATACTCCTTAATATTAATAAATAACTTTCTTAGTTCATAGCAAATTTGTAAAAAATACGGATCTACTAAAGAAATCTGACAGCAAAGAAAATACAGGGGAAAAAAATGACAGAAAATCACTTGCAGCGATTATATACTTAACACATGTAGTCCTCTCACGACTCTATTACATTACACATACACACACACACACACACACACACACCACTCTCTCACTAACCTCTATAGTTACTGCCATTCTAAAAAAGTACAGTAATTGAAGTTGGGAGAGAAAAAAAACCACTCATTTTAAAAGGTCACATTTTTTAGGGTGAAAGCAGTAACTAACTGAAAACCTTGCTTAAATAGAAATCTTCTTTGAAAATTATCAATAAATTGTGTCTATTAGATACTTGATTTTAAAAAGATAATTTCTGGGGGCCGGTGCTGTGGCGCAGCAGGTTAAAACCCCGGTCTGCAGCACCAGCATCTCATATGGGTGCCAGTTTGTGTCCCGAATGCTTCTCTTTCAATCCAGCTCTCTGCTATGGCCTGGGAAAGCAGCAGAAGATGGCCCAAGTGCTTGGGCCCCTGTACCAGCGTGGGAGACCCAGAAGAACCTCTTGGCTTCAGATCAGCTCTGCTCTATCCGTTGTGGTCATTTGGGGAGTGAACCAGCGAATGGATGGAAGACCTCTCTCTCTCTCTCTTTCTCTCTGGCTCTACCTCTCTCTGTAAATCTTTCAAATAAATAAAACTTAAAAAAAAAAAAGTAATTTCTAACGCCAGCATTGCCGCAGAGTTAAGCCGTTGCCTGTGGCACTGGCATCCCACATGGGTGCAGGTTTATGTCCCAGCTGTTTCACTTCCAATCCAGCTCTCTACTAATGCAGAAGAGTATGGTCCAGTACTTGAACCCCTAAACCCATGTGGGAGACCTAGAAAAGCTCCTGGCTTTGGCCTGGCCCATCCCTGACCACTGCAGCCATCAAGGGAGTGATCCAATGGACTGAAGATCTCTCTGTCTCTCCCTCTTTCCCTATAACACTGCCTTTCACATAAATGGATAAATCTTTGAAAAAAAAAAAAAAAAGATACTTTCTGAATACTTACCTAAACGGTTATATAATTCTCTACTTATTTTTAAATCCATTTTCTCCTGTTCCTCAAGTGAGACATCTGGGTAAGACACTGCTTTTTGATGTTTACCACTACCGTGAGGCTTCTCTGATGTTCGTGACACAGACTTACTTGCCTCTGTCTTTGTGACCTCTTTAGACTGAGATATGGCAGAAGTGAGTGACACATTGGGGGCAACCACTTTATCACACATGTATAAATAGTAGCTGAAAACAAAGAAAAGCAAAATAAGATACTTACTACATTTAGGTAAAAAAATCAAAATATGAAACATTTCTATGCATAAACTTTTTTTAATCAAGACAGACAATGTAACAACTCAGAAAATAAGGGTCACAGAAACAAACTCTTAAAAAAATGGACATTTTAGGCATTAAGAACAAAGTTGATTTTTGTTATTTTGTAAATTTCTTCACATTACAAAGATACTCACTAAAAAATAAAATCCGTTTTCTCCTTTCCTCAAAATCAACTGAGAACTACAGGCAGTAAGCATTTTAACAGCCCTGACTAGGTACGGTTAATTCCAAAAGACAAGTCATATGCTACTTTGGAGGACTGTTTTCATATTCACTACCCCTCCAAAGCAGGGAATTGTTGCTCTCTGCCTGTGGTGAGGTTGCTTCATGATAGGCCCAATGAGGAGTTCCAAAGGCCCTTCTTATATAGCTCAGAGAGAACGGGTACTCTGAATGCTGCTGCCTACCTACTCCACAGCTTTACTTGTATCAAATACCAGAGCACAATCTTCTTAAAATAGTTTGGTGCGGGGGGCCAGCACTGTGGCATAGTAGGTTAAGCCTCTGCTGCTGGCACTGCAGGCCTCCCATATGGGCACTGGTTTGTGTCCCAACTGCTCTACTTCCGATCTAGCTCTCTGCTATGGCCTGGGAAAGCAGTGGAAGATGGCCCAAGTCTTTGGGTCTCTGCACCCATGTGGGCAACCCAGAAGAAGCTCCTGGCTTCCAATCAGCCCAGCTCCGGCCACTGCAGCCATTTGGGGAGTGAACCAACAGATGGAAGACCTTTCTTTCTGTCTCTTCCTCCCTCTTTATCTCTACCTCTCAAATAAATAAATAAAAATCATTTAAAAATTTCAAAAAAAAAAATGGAGGCCAGCGCTGTGTTTAGCGGGTACAGGGCCTGCATCCCATATGGGCGCTGGATCGAGACCCAGCTGCTCCACTTCCAATCCAGCTCTCTGGTATGGCCTAGGAAAACAATGGAAGATGACCCAAGTCCCTGGGCTCCTGCACCCACATAGGAGACCAGGAAGAAGCTCCTGGTTACTGGCTTCAAAATGGCGCAGCTCCAGCTGTTGTGGCCAATTGGGGAGCGAACCAGTGGATGGAAAACCTCTCTGTCTCTCTGCCTCTCCTTCTCTTTCAAATAAATAAATCTTAAAAAAAAAAGGGAAAAAAAATTATTGGTACTCCTACTTATCTGATAAAATAGCAGTAATAAACTGTGCAAAATTAAGATTGAAAGGGTAACATAATTTTACTCAAAGTTCACACACACTGTTCAGGAGAGTACTTGAGAGGCTTATGGAACACAGCTGAACGAAATACTCAAGTACTATGTTTGTAACTGCAATCTGAATAATCTTTATCAAAAAGACAACCATTCAGACTAACACTTCATCCTCTATACTCCAGGCAATCTCCTAACATCACTTTATTTATACAGAACACTTACACTGTTCTTTATCACATGAATTCTAGGACTAAATACTCACTATTCTGCTAAAACAAAAAACACCAATCTGACAGGTTTAGTAATGTTCAAAAGACTTATTTCAAAATGTATCTTACATATGGTAGTGATTATGCAAATACAGATAATAAGACTAAGACTCTTCATATCACCATGCTTGGGGATAAGATTTACACTAACAGATAAAATCTAAATAAAAAGCATAAAATCTATAAAAATAGAAAATCTCCTTGGAATACTGAAAATACAAAAACTTGATTTTTGAGGGGTGTGGCTATTAATAACTCAAGTTTCAAAAGAATTTCCTTTTAAAATATCAAAGTTCCATACCAATCTCTGAAAAAATTAGTTTATCTCTTGAACAGAAGGAAATTAAATAACTTTGATTTTCTTGCTTGAAGTCAAGAAAAAATGAAAAAACATAAAAGCATTAAGTAAAGGTTACCACAAATATGTAATAAAATTTACAATTCATTTCATTTTAGATTCTTCCTCTGAATTTTTTTCTAATTAGAATGACTAGGTGATGTAATTCTTCTACAATATCCTTACAATGATAAATATTTAAACAGCATTAAATCACAATGTGCTTGTTTATAAACAGTTTTGAGGGCAAGAATTTGGTTATGACTCTGGATGGGACATCCCATATTGGTGTACCTGAGTTTTGATTCCCAATCCATTCTTATTTCTCACTTCCTGTTAATGAGTACTCCAGGAGAGAGAAGGTGATGGCTCAAGTAGCTGGGTCCCTTCCACCCACTCAGAAGACCTGGTTTGAGTTCCTGGCTCCTGGCTTCAGCCTGGCCCAGGTCCAGCCATTATGGGCACTTGGGGAGTGAACCAGCAGACAGGAGCTCTTTCCATCCGTCTCCCTCTTTTCTCTTTCTCTGTCTGCTTCTCAAACAAAAACTTTTTTAAAAGAACAATTTCGAATTTTCAAAGGTAATACACTAATTTACAAGGAAGTTTGAAACTAAATAATGAACTCTCAAGTCCTAGACTAGTACTTGGCATATAGCTGTTGAACGAACAAGCAAACATATAAATGAAGATCCACTCACCTGGGATGTAAAAATGAATGTGTCGGAGAAACATGGTCACCTTCCTGCTTTATAACAGGATACCATGACTGTATTTCCATTCCTGATGGTGCATCTGTCTGTAGAAAAATGTGGAAGGAGAAAAGTTTATTAATGGGGAAAATCTGATGGTTAATTTTATATGTCAAGTTAACAGAGCCACTGGATAAAGAGTTTCATTATTTAAGAGTCATCTTGTAATAAGGCAGTATTTCCTCAAAGTGTGGGCAGGGAACCTTTTTTTCTGCAAGGGTCATTTAGATTTTTTATTTATTTTTTTTTATTTTTTGACAGGCAGAGTGGACAGTGAGAGAGAGAGACAGAGAGAAAGGTCTTCCTTTGCCATTGGTTCACCCTCCAATGGCCGCCGCGGCCGGCGCACTGCGGCCGGCGCACCGCGCTGATCCGATGGCAGGAGCCAGGAGCCAGGTGCTTTTCCTGGTCTCCTGTGGGGTGCAGGGCCCAAGCACTTGGGCCATCCTCCACTGCACTCCCTGGCCACAGCAGAGAGCTGGCCTGGAAGAGGGGCAACCGAGACAGAATCCGGCGCACCGACCGGGACTAGAACCCAGTGTGCCGGCGCCACTAGGCAGAGGATTAGCCTAGTGAGCCGCGGCGCCAGCCCATTTAGATATTTTTAACATCATTTTCAGTCCATACAAAATTATTAATTTAAAAATCAGCTTGCTATAGATTTACTGAATTTCAAGTCCTGGCTGTAGTTGTGTTGGCAGGACCAGAGCAAATGACACCACAGGCCTGACATGGTCCACAGGCCAGACATTCCTCTCTCCTCCTTAAAGTCTATTCACTTGGAACTCAAGGAGACTGAGTGAACTATGCCCCAAGAATAGTTTCAGCATGCAAGCTGACATGGATTATCAGAAATTACTTCATATCAAATTTCATACTTATAGAATCTATTATAAATAATAATACTCTTCCAATGTATAGCAGTGTGAAGCTGATTCTATTCTTGCTGCTAGAATCAACTAGTTTATCCTACTCCTACAGTATGTTAGCGTATTAACTTGATAACATTCTACAGCAATAAATATTTTACCAAACTAAATTTGAAACCACTTTTTGTTTTAAACAGTGCTTCCTGATGGATATGAAAAGCTTTCTTTTAGTGTAAAGGAAGAACTACTAACTGTACCTGTAAACAAAGGAAACAAAGTATCTACCTGCTGAAAACCTCATGTATTCTACTTAATGCTAACAAATACTCATTAAGTAAGCATCATTATCTCCATTTTACAGATTAAAAAATGTGGAACAAAAATTGAGAGAAAAAAAGTGAATAGCATAGTTACTAAACTTCTCCCTAATTTTGGTTTCCCTCCTTGCCTGCTCCCCACAGACTATATATTTCTTTTCCTTTTTATTTATCCAAAAGAGTTACACAAAGAGAGGAGAGGCAGAGAGAGAGAGTGATCTTCCACCCAATGGCCCACTCCCCAGCTGGGCGCAACGGCCGGAGCTGTACCAATCTGAAGCCAGGAGCCAGGAGCTTCCTCCAGGTCTCCCAAACAGGTGCAGGGGCCCAAGGATGTGGGCCATCTTCCACTGCTTTCCCAGGCCATAGCAGAGAGCTGGATCAGAAGTGGAGCAGCCAGATCTCGAACCAGCGCCCATATGGGATGCCAGTGCTTCAGGCCAAGGTGTTAACCTGCTGCGCCACAGTGCCGGCCCCCAGACTATATATTTCATATGACAGTAATTATCCTACTCTTACAGAGGGGAAAAACTTTTATTTAACTTTATTTATTTAATTTTATTTTAAAGGCAGAGAGACAGACATACAAGATGGACAGAAATCTTCCATCCACTGGTTCCATTCCCCAAATGCTGGCAATAGCAGAGCTGGGCCAGGCTGAAGCCAGAGGCTAAGAACTCAATTTGGGTCTCCCACACAGGTGGCAGGGACCCAACTACTTAAGTCCTCACACGCTGCCTCATAGGGTACACAAGGAATAAACTCAGAACTTGAACCCAGTCACTGATATGAGATGCAGGTGTCTAAAGTGGCATTTTAAGTGCTCACGCCAGAAAAAAAATACCTTCTCACTGGCAGGAGAGGGAGACACTAAAAGATGGCACGGTTACAGTAAACAGCAAAGACAAACTAACCAGACAAGCACAGTAGCCTCAGGGAGCATGGGATAATGAGTTGAAGGCTATGACAAAACAGGAGTGTTGGGGTTTTTTCTGAACCCTGCCTCTGTGAGGCTTCAATCCCTTCAGCAACTAGGCAGTGTTAGAATGACAACTTTATTCAACAATGAATAAATGCCACATGCAGTGGAGAGCTCCTAAACCTAAGAAATTTGGAAAGCCGTTTTGCCTGATGTCCTAATATTCCAGTTCAGAACCAAAGGACTATGGAAAAGAAAGGAAAGAGATCTCTAAATGTTAAGCAGTTGTGACGAGAAACAAAATCAATTCTAAACCCATGGGTTTGATTAAGAAGATTCCACTAATGGAGGCAACCGAGGGTGAAGAAACTGGAATAACTTGACCTAACACACTGCCATGCCCCAAGGAAAGAAGCTGAAAACAGAAAAGCAGCAGCTCCTGGGATACACGTCACAGAACCTAATCAATCAGGAGCTGTCTGAAGGCCAATTAAAAGCCAAGAGCCAGGAGCTTCTTCCAGGTCTCTCACGTGGGTGCAGGGGCCCAATTCTTAACAAAAAACTAATTTTTGTTAAGAATTACTGGGAAAGTAATTTGAAAAACTAACAAGAGTACAAAATCTTAGGGAAAACAGTAATATATTAAAAGGATCTGCAAATTGAGCATTCAGTGAAGGTCCCTAGACTAGACATAAGAGCAGAATATTTTTCAAAATCCCCAATCCTAATCAAATATTCTAAAAACCCAAAACACAATTCTGATCTAATACTAACTATCTGAGCAAATTCAACTGCTTATTTATAAAATAAATCACATTTAGTTTCTAAGCCTAGTTTTGTTCTGGCAGTGAATTAGAAAAATGACTTCTGGGGGCAGAGCCAAGATGGCGGAATAGTGAGGGCGCGCACTGATAGTCCAGGAAAAGATAGTTTAATAAAAGTGGAGTTACTGTAGTCTCAGGAAAAGGCTCGGGAAGAAATTGCAGAGGAAACTCTCCCGAATATAGTAGATGTGACACGGGGGACCTACGGGGAGAGCAAGGATGCCCACGGTGCGGAGGACACCCGTGGAGTCTGCGCACCAGCACTGGAAGGGGAGCTGTGCAGAATTGCTTCCCTTCTGAGTCAAAAAAAAAAACAGAGAGAGAGCGAGCAAGAGAGAGAACAACTTGGGTGAGTCACCTTTGACACACCCTTAACCCTAAAGAACCAAACAGAGCTCTCTGGCCACACCCATCACAGCCTCTAAGGATCCATCAAAAGCAGAAAGTCCACTTAATCTAGAGTCATAGTATAACAAGAAAAAACACCACAGCGAAGAAACCAAAGAATATCTCCAATATGCCAAACAACAAACGCAAAAACCGAGGTAACAAGAACAAGGAAGACACTATGACGCCCCCAAATGAAAAAGACACCCAATTCAAGATTATAAAGATGATGAGATAGAAGAAATGCAAGAAGCAGATCTCAAAAAATTGTTAAGAACATTAAGAAGTTCTCAAAAACAAATTCTTGAACTACAGAAATCCTTACTGGACAGGACAGAAAATCTCTCGCGCAAAAATGAAATATTAAGGAGGAATCAAAATGAAATGAAACAACTAGTAGAACATGAAACTGTGATAGTGATGAGAAATCATAATGAAATGAAGAATTCAATAGATCAAATGACAAACACATTAGAGAGCCTTACAAACAGAATGGGTGAAGCAGAAGAGAGAATATCAGACTTAGAAGACAGAGAACAGGAAAGGATACAGTCAAACCAAAGAAAAAAAAGAGGAAATTAGAAATCTAAAAAATATTGTCGGGAATCTACAGGATACTATTAAAAAAAACAACATTTGGGGTCTAGGAGTTCCTGAAGGCATGGAGAGGGAGAAAGGATTAGAAGGCCTTTTTAGTGAGATATTAGCAGAAAATTCCCCAGGTTTGGAGAAGGACAGAGACATCCTAGTACAGGAAGCTCATAGAACCCCTAGTAAACATGACCAAAAGAGATCCTCACCATGACACGTTATAACTAAACTCACCAAAGTGAAACATAAAGAAAAGATCCTAAAATGTGCGAGAGAGAAACGTCAGATTACTCTCAGAGGATCTCCAATCAGACTCACAGCTGACTTCTCATCAGAAACCCTACAAGCTAGGAGGAAATGGCGAGATATAGCCCAGGTACTAAGAGAGAAAAACTGCCAGCCCAGAATATTATATCCTGCTAAGCTCTCATTTGTGAATGAAGGTGAAATAAAGACCTTTCACAGCAAACAGAAATTGAAAGAATTTGTCGCCACTCGTCCAGCCCTGCAAAAGATGCTTAAAGATGTGCTGCACACAGAAACACAGACACACAGTCATCAATATGAAAGAAGGCAAAGGAAGGAAACCTCACAGCAAAAGATCACAGGAAGAACAAAGCATATATTAGAAAATATTTGGCAAATGGCAGGGCAAAGTCACTACGTATCAATAGTCACATTGAACATTAATGGTCTGAATTCTTCAGTTAAAAGACACCGTTTAGCTGACTGGCTCACAGAACACAACCCAACTATTTGTTGCCTACAAGAAACACATCTCTCTAACAAAGAGGCATGCAGACTGAAAGTGAAAGGTTGGAAAAAGATATTCCATGCCAACAGAAACCAAAAAAAAGCAGGTGTAGCCATATTAATATCAGACAAAATAAACTTTAATACAAAAACTGTTAAGAGAGACAAAGAGGGACACTATATAATGATTAAGGGTTCAATTCAACAGGAAGATGTAACTATTATAAATGTATATGCACCTAATTACCGGGCACCGGTCTATTTAAAAGATATGTTAAGGGACTTAAAGGGAGATTTAGATTCCAATACAATAGTACTGGGGGACTTCAATACTCCACTCTCAGAAATAGACAGATCATCCGGACAGAAGATCAACAAGGAAACAGCAGATTTAAATGACACTATAGCCCAAATGGATCTAACAGATATATACAGAACTTTCAACCCTACATCTACAGACTTCACATTCTTCTCAGCAGCGCATGGAACCTTCTCTAGGATTGACCACATACTAGGCCATAAAGCAAGTCTCAGCAAATTTAAAAGAATTAGAATCATACCATGCAGCTTCTCAGACCACAGCGGGATGAAGCTGGAAATTAGCAACTCAGGAAACCCCAGAAAGTATGCAAACACATGGAGACTGAACAACATGCTCCTGAATGAACACTGGGTCATTCAAGAAATCAAAAGAGAAATCAAAAACTTTCTGGAAGTAAATGAAGACAACAACACAACATATCAAAACTTATGGGATACAGCAAAAGCAGTATTGAGAGGCAAATTTATAGCAATAGGTGCCTATACCAAGAAATTGGAAAGGTACCAAATAAATGAGCTTTCAGCGCACCTCAAGGACCTAGAAAAACTGCAGCAAACCAAACCCAAATCTAGTAGGAGAAGAGAAATAATTAAAACCAGAGAAGAAATTAATAGGATTGAATCCAAAAAAACATTACAAAAAATCAGCCAACGAGGAGCTGGTTTTTTGAAAAAATAAGCAAAATTGACACCCCATTGGCCCAACTAACTAAAAGACCCAAATCAATAAAATCAGAGATGAAAAAGGAAACATAACAACAGACACCACAGAAATAAAAAGAATCATCAGAAATTACTACAAGGACTTGTATGCCAGCAAACAGGGAAATTTAGCAGAAATGGATAAATTCCTGGACACATGCAACCTACCTAAATTGAACCAGGAAGACATCGAAAACCTAAACAGACCCATAACTGAGGCAGAAATTGAAACAGTAATAAAGGCCCTCCCAACAAAGAAAAGCCCAGGACCAGATGGATTCACTGCTGAATTCTACCAGACATTTAAAGAAGAACTAACTCCAATTCTTCTCAAACTATTCAGAACAATCAAAAAAGAGGGAGTCCTCCCAAATTCTTTCTATGAAGCCAGCATCACCTTAATTCCTAAGCCGGAAAAAGATGCAGCATTGAAATAGAATTACAGATCAATATCCCTGATGAACATAGATGCAAAAATCCTCAACAAAATTCTGGCCAATAGAATGCAACAACACATCAG